GAAGTCATCTTCAATGAGAACCCCAGAAAAACAACAGCAGCCGCTAGCTGTTGTTTTTCCGCTAGCACTCAAGCTCACAGCTCCTCATATCTGTTCAGAAACTAGACAAAAGTTAAACAAGTACAAACCACAGACTGCCTGTGTCATGGCGAATACAGTCGCTGCTTTATTTATGTCTGTATAGGCCGTTGTTGTGAGTGTGGACGGTCGGAGCATATAGTGCGTTAGCTTAGCCGAACCCCATTTAGACAACACGCATTTTAAAAGGTTTTTCGCCTGCCGTCTGTCTGCAGACTTGTCAAAGCATTAATTCATGGTTTTTACTAACCGGTATCAGTATGTTGTTACTTCGGCATCATTTTGAAACGTGTATTACAATTAAATCACGGTCAAATATGTTCATTTTGTTGTAGTTGTAGCCCCCTTGCTAGCGATTTTCTCTCTAGTTTAGCATACTCAGCCCAACTCAGCCTGGTTATTCCTGGCCCTAGAACCCCGATTTTATGGGGCCAGAAAAACTGTGAATTAGGACCCGCTAGCCGGTACTAGGCCAAGTGGAAGCGCAACCAAAAACGGGCCACTGACGTCACAGCTCTCTTAAACAGGGCTCCGCGCTGCAGTGGAAACGAGCCATTACACCTCTGGTATACAACAACGTTCTAGCAGTGGCGAGCCGTCAGGGCCCTCTAGGCCCTCTGTGAGGGCCTAAGATATTCCAAAAAATAATATTTAAAAACATTAAAAAAATATATTTTTTTAAAATATATATTTTTTTAATATTATTTTTGTTATATTTTTCATTAGTTTTACCGGAAAAAAAACTTGATTTAATAAAATAACATTTCCAAATAAATAAATCCTTCGAATCTGCCTGTTCAGTCTCTGTTTGAATGTGGGTTACATGAAAGAAGCTCGTCTGGCCCTCTCTGCGATTCACAGAGGGTTGCTATAGTAACTGAACGAGAGAGTAATGTCAAATGACAGTACAATTGACCAATCATATCTTCCCTCTAAATGGGTGGGTTTTATTATCGCGGACTAGATGACAAGTTCCGCCCGCTGTGAAACTTTTCTTGTTTCCATAGCAACAACAACTTCCTGTCAACAGCGTGAACTCGCCTTCAAAATAAAAGCATGCCAAATTACATTTAAGACATACAACTGCAACGAAAGTAAGAAACACAATGCAATATCATTTTCAATGTCAAAGAACACAAATGGGGTTCACAGGTGTTGTTTTGTGTGGTAGAGGGTCGCTGTCATTGATGCGTTTTGCACCCTGGGCCGTTGTTTTGATATTCCGCTGAAGTATACGCTGTGACGTAATAACTATTTTTTTTTCCTTTTTTTCGAGGGAAGGGGTGGGGGTCAGAGGGCCTAGGTATAAAGCTCACGGCTCGCCACTGCGTTCTAACCACAGTAAAGTTCTAACCACAGTAAACACAGTAACGTACGAGGGCGTGGTTATAGCAACGAACTAGGCACACATCAAAAACACTTTCCTAGATGGGCTGTCTCATGCCCTTGCCACACGAAGACGAAAACGGTCGTATCCGCTACATTTCTCTATCAATTAGACACGAGGCCGACACGGAAACGCAGAAAACGATAACGGGTCCCTAGGTGGGTAGATCTGCAAACGAAATGCTCTGGGGGGGCAAATGGCTCCGTGTTTACGCCTATACGATCATGTCCTGATAACGATGACGCAATAGCCCCGCCTCTCCCCACCTCTGCTGCTCGGAGATCAGCTGCTGGGCTGTCAGAAGAGGGGGAGGAAAAGAGAGGCTCCGTTTTTTATTATTATATTGAGTCGTTATTCATTTGTTTTAAAGCACAATAAATAACAAAGAAGACCTCTGACCGGCACTTTTCTAATTTTGTCTGGAAGATTTCAACTTTAACGGACATGTTGACCGGCGAAAAAAAAATCTAACTGAAACTCTGTCGCACGGTCCCCTCGTCCCTTGGAAGAGGCGGAGAGGTGGGTGTTTTTTATCTGCTGGTGGACTACCGGAGAGTAGGAGCAAACGCTTGCCTCGGGGAGGGAGAAAAAGAGCCAGAGCATCCACAGCGGAGAATAAACAGAAGGGCAACCATGGCAACCATGCGCGGGAGGTCTTCTTCGCTGCTTTTGTGGCAGACTACAGCGCCACTTACAGGCCTGGCATATGTACTACAGCGTTGTATTTACCTTACGATAGGGGAGGGTTACAACTACCACATTTTCAGTGGTACTACTGGGCGGCACAATTGAGGGCTACAATGTTTTGGTTTTAAAGAGGAGTTGATTTGCCGTGGTTACGAGTTGAGTTGTTGTCTTCAAAGGGTTTGATGCTGGATAGCTTTCTATACTCTGCTCCTTCTAAAAATCTAAGGAAAAAAACTATTAATCCCTTTGTGAAAAATCAAATGTTTGTCTGGCATGAAGCACATGAATATATAGGCGACTCCCCAATGTTGTCTTGTTTCTCACCTATTTGGGGCATTTTTACCCGGGCTGAAGAATGACATGGGCTTCCAAACATGATTAAGTAAGGGTATTGTAAGGCTACTAGATTTATATGAGGACGGCAACCTAATGTCGTTTGACGAGCTGAAAACAAAGCATGTCGTGCCACAGAAACACTTTTTCAAGTACCTGCAAGTTAGGAGTTTTATATTGGCAAACGTAAACAACTTAAACAACCTCCTACGTCCACAGTAGAGATACTGTCTATAAAAAACGTTATCAGCAAAGGGCTGGTTACTCAATTTTATAACATAATGGTTGCAAACCATAAAGACAACTCAGAAAGTAAAAGACAGGCGTGGATAAAAGACGTATTAGAGCAGGGGTATTCAACCAAAATTCAACGAGGTCCAGTTAGAGAAAATCTCCCCATGCAAAGGTCCGGAACATCAAAATGTCTAAGTTGCTTTATGAATTAGTGTGATATATATTGAAGTAGCCTGTAGCTTTATCAACGTCTGCATGTAATCAAAAACTGACTGCCAATCAAATAAAGAAAGTACAATTCAAAAACAACAATATTTATTGTCAATTAACATTGAACTATACAGATATACAGTAACTGTGGATATGTTCCTCTCGGACTGCATTTAAAAATAAAATAGAGAAAATAAATAAAATAGCTTTTGAAAATATGTGCATCTTAAAAGTGCTTAATTTTAGATAAATAAAATAAAGTGTAGCAGCAGCTTGAGTTTCCCTTTTTCTTTGTTAACCATTTCACATCATGACCTAACAGTTTCAGCCGATTATAGAACAATATCAGTCTTTACACATCATAACAATTGAACAGTTTTAAAGTCTCTCTTTCTTTCCCTCTTATATTGCAGTCCCTCACTCAATTCAGCGCGAGAATTGAGCTCGAGCTTGTCCTGCCAGGAGTTTAAATCTGGGCTGAAATGGTGTCAGGGCCATTCTCATACACATGCAGGTGCTCATTGGTTAGCCTCGGTTAGCCTGCCCTGGAACGATATTTAGTTTTAATTTTGATCCTGGTCGACTGATCATATTGGGCTCTGAGACTGCTTATTTTTTGTGACCTCAGTTCTGACTTGAGAGGGAATGTTTGGTCAAACACTTGTGTTTTGTCTCATCGTGGCGTTTTGGCACTTTTAATGAGCACCACGGTCTCTGAATGAGATACACTGGTTCTGTGCTCCCAGTGGGCAGGATGAACCTGAATGAGTCCACTCAGGATTACAAGCTCTGTTCTCACTGTCCACTTTCCTCTTCTTGGAGAGCGCCATGTGTAATTATTTGTCTCTCCCTGTCTGCCGCTAACACGCTTGTTCACTCTCCTCTCCGCTTCTCTCCCTGTATCGCTAATTATTATTTTCACTCACTTTCCTCTCCTCTTCTATCTGCCGCTCCCTCGTCTCTTCTTCTGTGTTTCTCTCCCTGTATCGCTCAGTTGTCTCTTTCGCCCCCTGTCGGCGGCGGTTAAAATAGAATCGCCGGGTCCGGGTCCGTTTCGGTTGGCGTCTGGGTCCGGACCGCGGTCCGCCTGTTGCAGACCCCTGTATTAGAGGATATTTCAGAGGATGATCGGGGTAAAATGTGTTCAAAGGCACAAACACAAACTATTGATACACGTCTTAGATTAATACAATATAATTGGATAATGAGAACGTACATCACCCTTGTGATGTTTAAGAAGTTTAACCCTAACATTCCTGATCTATGTTATATATGAAAGATCCATCAAGGTACCATTGCTTGTGGGATTGTGTAGAGGTTCAAAGATTTTGGACTTCGGTGACAAGATATATTTCCCAAATAACCTCGTTGCGAACCCCTTTAAGCCCTAAACTTTGTATTTTAAGCATTTATCCAGAAGACTGTTCACTATCGGTTAGGGAAAGAAATATTTTTAACCTATGCCTTCTACAAGCAAGGCGCTCAATTGCTTTGTGTTGGAAAAATGTTGGTTGCCCCTCCCTGAGCCACAGGTTAAACAATTTAACTTTGAGTCTGGCTCTTGAGAAACTCACATATATACTAAAGAAGAAAGCTTCTGAATTTTACACCATTTGGGAATTATTTTTGGAATTTATAAAAAGTGGGGACATTGCAGAAGTGATGGAAGGTTAAAGTGAAAAGACTAAACTACTACTGAGGACATTTTGAATTTGGTTAATCTATTTGGAGGATTGTGAGCTACTCTGCTCTGTTTGTGGATGTGCTTTTATTGTATTTTTGTTGAATTTCTTAATGTAATTATATTCTTGGTCTGAACTTTAAACTGATTGATGATTCTAGTATCTGCACACTTTTTTATGTTTTTAGCATTGTTTTTTAATCTGCCATATGTCTAATGTTGGGGAATGTTCGTTTGTGTAATGTGATAAATGTAAAAAAAATGTAAATACAACATTCTAATCTATATCCAACCATATTATGCATTAATATTGTATTTTCTAAACAGGTTGTGATCTTTCATTTGGGGATAACAGTGTTAGGAATATATTGTGATGAAGTGCACACTGACCTGAGCTCCAGGGGTCTTTTTGTTCTCCATGCTGCTCTCAGAGCTCCTTCTCCGGCTGTGTCTCTGAAATAATCACAAAACAAGATAAATCAATACAACCGACAGACACAACAAAACAAATCTACGTCTTAGTTACTTCTCACCTCTGCTATTAACCTAAGTACATTTACTCAAGTACTGTACTTAAGTACTATTTAGAGGTACTTGTACTTTACTATTGAAAAGGAATCTAACTTCGATACAACCAACGGCAGTGTTTTCCACAGATCTGAAATATACTTGTGTACAGGAGGGGTAGTTAATCGATCGCAGATGGCGTCGTCTAACCCCAGGAGAGTTAGCGCTGTTGACAGGAAGTTGTTGTTGCTATGGAAACAACGTGACTGAGATTAACGGAGAAAAAGTCATATCTGAATATAAAGACGGAGAAAGTAAACGATAACGTTTATGGTTAAGTGTTAGCACCCCCCGAAGAGGCACAAGCTCTTACGTTGATATTGGAGTTTTCAATAAAGTCAATTTGGCGGCCGCAGTGCAAAGCCATAGTGCTAGTGGAGTGCTAGTGGAGCCTCACAGATGGGGCTGCTACAGTCCCCTCAGCAAGTTTCCATAACATGGCTTTGTATATAAAAATGTACCAGTGACTGAGTCTCCGTACAGTTAGCGAAGGTAAACCAGCCCTTGCATACAGGGTACAGTGATGGGTTAATACTTTACAGTTTGTCACAAATCTCAGTGCACTGTGACACGCAGCATCTAACTTGACCAGGCAATTGGTAGGTGCATTCATATAAATCAAATCACCATAGTCCAGCACAGGTCACAGTGACTAGCCTTTTCCTGGACTCAAGTGAGAAACAGGACTTGTTTCTGTAAAAGAAACCTAGCCATTTTTAAAAGTGGACCTATCATGCTATATTTGAATAATATAGTGTAGGACCATACCTATATAAGGCATATTTATTTTGTCCTCATTTTTTCAAAATACCAAACAAATCATGCATTTTAGCCATGCCTCATTTCGCTCAATTTCGAAAATGTTAGCTCTGTTTTTGCAAGGGCTGATTCTGTGAGAACAGCACCATCTACAGGCCTGGCATATGTACTACAGCGTCTCCAGCGCTTTCGAACGGCAATGGCCGTGGCTGTCTCCTCCTGATTGGTGGAGTTGTCCCAATAGCCGTAGCGCCACCGTCCTGACGTCAGGACAGTGTTCAAATCTGGATCAGTTTTTATCAGATCCGTTGCAGCCCCTTTTTTAGAGATTTGGGTATGGAGGAAAATAGAGAGGGTTGTGTTTTCTGACACTTGGTGAGTTCCCTGGAACACCGGGGACACATATTCATGTTGAAAAGACGTACAAAAGTGCATTTTGCATGATAGGTCCCCTTTAAGCAGGTTATTGACATGAAGTTTAAAAGTGAGACAATCATCAAGCCAGATACCAAGATATTTGTAACAGGTAACCACTTCAAGTTTTATTCCTTGCGTAGTTACAATATCTAAAACAGGCTCTGGAGTCTTTTTAGCTTTAGAAAAGAGTATATTACCTTAGTTTTATCAACATTTAAAAGAAGCTTTAGTTCAGAGAGCTGAGTCTGAATAATGTGAAAAACAGCTTGCAATTCAACAACAGCCTCCTTAATGGAGGGACCTGAACAGCACATCACGGTATCGTCCGCATACAAATGTAAGGTTGCTCCATCGACATTTTCACCTAAACTATTGATGTAGATGGAGAATAAAAGTGGACCTAAAACAGAACCTTGTGGTACACCATTAGTAATGTTTAACCACTCAGAAGTGGTGGTCTAATGGATAGTGAGGTGGGCTGAAGATCGGAAGGTTGTGAGTTCAAATCCCGCCTGGAACACCACCACTAGTGTGCCCTTGAGTAAGGCACTTAGCCCTTAGTTACTCCAGGGAGAATGTCCCTGTTATTGGTCATTGTAAGCTTTGGATAAAAGCGTCAGCTAAATGAAATGTAAATGTAATGAGCCCATCAAACTGAACACATTGGGACCTTTCAGAGAGGTAGTTCACAAACCACCCCACTGCATGGCTGGCTATGCCAATACTGACTAGCCTCTGCTTCAAGATGCGATGATCGAACGCTTTGGACAGGTCAACAAATAGAGCTAAACAACTCTGCTTATTATCTAAAATACTCGCCATATCATTCACCACTTTCATTGTCGCTATGTTGCTTTCTGAAGCCTGACTGATGTTTAGACAGGATGTCATTTGTACATAAAAACTCCTTTACCTGTTCACTCACTAGATTTTGTATGAGAAAACCAATGTGAGTTTGGAAAATTGCACAATGTAAATCTATTCTAGTAGACCTCAACAATGGAATTATGATCAGTAGAAATGGCCATGTCATGGAACCTTTAAGGTAATTAGTTATAAGCCCTATTTTATCAGTAGCCTGTCTGCACAGCAGTTACAATGGTAAGACATTAAAACAGAATTGTCCCCATTTTTTCTTTAATAGTTACTAACATTAGATATTTTAATGAAATATGGACCACAAAACAAAACATTTGCCTGAATAACAAATTTAGCAGTTGGACATAAAAGTCAACTGAGTGTCACTTGCAATGACATTGTTGTGTTTTTATTTTATGAACCTTTTACATTAAAAACAAGTAAACATTTTCAAAAGGTGGGGGGGAGGCCCTTTTCCAGTTTGGAGCAATAGCCCCTCCAAATGTCTGCGCACGTCCCTACCCTGCAGTATACAAAGTCATTAAAACTAGTTGCGCCTTTACCAGCTTTGATAACACTTTAATGATCAATAATTATAAAACATATCATATATATATTATTCTGAAATGGACCAATCTGCACAATGACAAATGTTGGTACTTTACCTATATTTTGATGCCAATACTTGTCTACTTTTAATGTAACAGAGTATTCCTACAATCTGGTACTTTTTTTACTTGACAACAAGATCTGAGTACTTCTCCCACCTCTGCGCACCTGATGTGATAACGTTACTCGCAATTGGGGCAACAGAGCTACGAGTTAAGGAAGTAAAAAATTGTGCATTTCTCCGTCTGAATATGACACCTTTTGGCCAGCTGTTTGGACAGACTGCTTGTCTGCAACGCGCTAACGCGAAAACACTAATGCAAACGAGCTTTGTCCACATCGAGGCTTGTATCAGTGTCACTATACTTTTGAATGCCAGTTTCCCCGCAGCGAGGCTCCCCCCGCCCTCCCGTAGACAGTTCACGAGCTCAGTCACTTCATAACACCAAAGATGGATCGCGGTAAACGCTCTAAAGTGAGGCTCCATTACACTAAAAAAGAAAAAGACAAGGCACAGTGTAATGCCTGTTAATAGCTTGCCACAGGCATAGCTCAGTTAAAATAAAGCACAGCTATTGTGCAATACATTTGTATTGCATGTATATTTTTTATTTGTAAAAATGTCAGTTAAAGCTTAAAAGAATAAAAGATATTTTAGTTATCTAAACGTTTGACCTTTCTTTTACAATTTTGGAACTGAAACGGGGAATCGATAAGAACCGGAATTGCTGTCCTTAATCGTTGTCAAAAACCACAACGCAACTTTTATGCTTTGCTTGCAACTTCTAAAATGCATGTGCATAGGTCAAGAGTTCAGGATGTTCTGTCTAGTTTCACATGTCTGGTAAGACATTATTTTTTCACACACACACACACACACACACACACACACACACACACACACACCCACACACACACACACACACCACACACACACACACACACACACACACACACACACACACACACACACACACACACACACACACCACACACACACACACACACACACACACACACCTCACACACACACACTACACACACACACACACACACACACACACACACACACACACACACACACACACACACACACACACACACACACTCCACACACACACACACACACACACACACACACACACACACACACACACACACACACACACACTACCTCTCTCTCTCCTCTTCGTCCTGGTTCTTCAGTCTCTCTTCTCCTTGATAAAACACTGCCGTTAAACACACTAATCTCCGTTGAATGCCTTTACTTCTGTTTACCGATCAGCAACGTGGTATAAAAAGCTACGAACAAAGAACGGGAGGCAACAAAAACACGGTTTAACGGATAGATCACCCTCCAAGGATAAACTAACTCTTTGTATGTGTTTTAAAAGTCTCTAAAACACATTACATTCGGTATAAAATCTGCGTTAACGTCTGTTAGCAACGTGCAGCTTCTGAGGACCGGAAGCTAGAAACGGACTGCCGCAATGCATCATGGGAGTTTAGTTTTCTTTTAACATAAATTCACTGCCTCCCTGTGGTGAAAAACGGTATTAAAATATATATGAATTACAACAATAATAATAATAATAATAATAATAATAATAATAATAATAATAATAATAATAATAATAATAATAATAATAATAATAATAATAATATATAAATATGGGACTGGTATGGTGGATTTTAAACGTTGGGAAAAATGTTTGTTTTCCATTATATAGGTTTTGATATAATTATTGATCATTAAAGTGTTATCAAAGCTGGTAAAGGTGCAGCTAATTTTTTGCAGGGTAGCTTGTGAATTTACTCCAGGTGGAACTAAAGTCGGATTTAACGCTTGATTATATTTATAAAAGTAGAAGTACTCAGGTCTTGTCCCTTAGTAAAAGTAGAAATACTCAGATCTTGTACTTCAGTAAAAGTAGAAGTACTAAGATATTGTACTTCAGTAAAAGTAGAAGTACTAAGATATTGTACTTCAGTAAAAGTAGAAGTACTAGAGTGTAGGAATGATCTGTTACAGTAAAAGTCCTGCATTCAAAATATCATTCAAGTAAAAGTAGAAAAGTATTAGCATAAAAATATACTTAATGTACCGACAGTAAAAGTAGTCATTGTGCAGATTGGTGCATTTCAGAATAATATATATGATATGTTTTATAATTATTAATCTATTAAAGTGTTCTCAAAACTGGTAAAGGTGCAGCTAGTTTGAATTTCAAAACTAATCACCAAACATTTAGATAAAGGTTTCGCTCCACTCCACCCTATGCAGTTTGGTTTTCGTGCTCACCACTCCACTGAGACAGCTAACTGTGTCTTTGTGGAAAAGGTTAAATGTATGTTGGACACGAGCCCATATGTAGGTGCTGTCTTCCTTGATCTCAGGAAGGCTTTTGACACAGTTAACCACCAAGTGCTCCTTACAAAGCAGACATATTTCAATTTTTTGGCAGATTCAATACAGTGGGTTAAATCTTACTTATCAAACAGAAAACGGTGTGTTTTGGTCAACGGTACCAAATCCCCCTACCTTGTGGAACCCCAACAGGGTTCCACAAGGTTCCATTCTTGGACCATTACTGTTTTCTCTGTACATTAATGACTTGCCTAATGTATGTCCTGATTTGAATGTACAAATGTATGCCGATGATGCGGTCATCTTTGTACACGGGAAAAATACTGAAATAATCACATCCTGTCTCTCAAATAATTTGGACAAGGTTCAACACTGGCTGAACAACATTTGCTTACAGTTAAATGCAAAAAAAACAGTATGCATGATTCAGTAAACAGTAATCCTTCGACCAGTCAAAATCGAAGGATCCAATGTGTTTTTAAACGGAGCAGAATTAGAACTAGTCCCCCACTTCAAGTATCTTGGAGTCATACTGGACTCAAACTTGACTTTTAAGAAACATATCAAGAAAGTATCCAATACCGTTAAATTCAACTTGCAACATTTTAAACAAATTAGACCTTTCTTTACTGTCAATGCTGCAAAGTCATACCTCCACTGCATGATTCTATCCCACATTGAATACTGTTTTACAAACTGGTCGTTTGCTTGTGCCACAAACCTGAAACCCATAGAACTGCTGTACAAGAGAGCTATCAAGGTGTTTGACAGAAAGCCTTATTCATATCACCACTGTACCATCCTTGAGAAACACAATTTCAGGAGTTTTGACAATTTTCAGTCTTTTAAAAGTATGTGTTTTATTTATAAATGTTTACATGGACTGCCCCCCCCCCCCCCCCTTAGGGGAATTCATCCACAGAAAACAGACTGGACGCTGCACTAGGTCAGAAACCAGAGGAGACTGTGAAGTCCACCGTAGACGGACCACGTTCTGTCAAAATGTTCTATCAATTAAGGGCAGCTCTTTGTGGAATAGCCTCCCAACTGAGATACGGGATTGTCCCACTTTGAACAGTTTTAAAGGTCAACTAAAAGAATGGTTGAGAAACAAACAAACGTACAATCACCGCTAAATGCACTTTAACACAGGGGTATCTCCTCTTGCACTTGATGTAGCCCTTTTATCTTCTCCTGCACTTTATATGTCGTAGCTGCTACATTGTACTGCCATGTGGTAAATGCTTATATGCTGCTCATGCTCTTTCTGCATATCATGTATTTATTTTGCTATGTATATAAATGTCATGTTCTTAAATGTTGTATGTGAGGGACTACGGATGGAAACTAGCTCAAAGCTCAAATCCGGCATGTTTACGTTTTTAAAGCATTATTTGTTTTAAATGTTCATCAATGTGCACTGTCCCTCGTCAAATAAACGATTAAATGAAAAATAAATAAATAACTTTGTATACTGCAGGGTAGCACAAAAAAAGTTTTACCTCGGCCCGACGTCACGCCAAATCTGCCCCGAACCACTGAGACAAACTCGTCTGACTGATGAAGACCACCACTCTCTCTGAGCGAGAACAAAGAGGAGAGAATATCTTTGTAAGCAAATCAACCTCCACCTTCACCGACGCTGGGAAAAACACGCCGACATCAAAGGCAGCGGCTGACTGGACTGCAGGAGAAGCAGCAGCTAAATGCTCGTTAGCTTGAATCCTGCAGGGAACCCCACCTCAACACCTACACAGACACATAAATAACATATAGGAATCACAATGATATCAATTTACTCTGTGAGGTATCATCATCGAGAAATATGTGTTTAAGTTATGTAGTGTCTCTACTTTAAAGAGTCCTCTCCTGCTGATGTTCAGGTGTATATCAGTATGTAGTGTCTCTACTTTAAAGAGTCCTCTCCTGCTGATGTTCAGGTGTATATCAGTATGTAGTGTCTCTACTTTAAAGAGTCCTCTCCTGCTGATGTTCAGGTGTATATCAGTATGTAGTGTCTCTGCTTTAAAGAGTCCTCTCCTGCTGATGTTCAGGTGTATATCAGTATGTAGTGTCTCTACTTTAAATAGTCCTCTCCTGCTGATGTTCAGGTGTATATCAGTATGTAGTGTCTCTACTTTAAAGAGTCCTCTCCTGCTGATGTTCAGGTGTATATCAGTATGTAGTGTCTCTACTTTAAAGAGTCCTCTCCTGTTGATGTTCAGGTGTATATCAGTATGTAGTGTCTCTACTTTAAAGAGTCCTCTCCTGCTGATGTTCAGGTGTATATCAGTATGTAGTGTCTCTACTTTAAAGAGTCCTCTCCTGCTGATGTTCAGGTGTATATCAGTATGTAGTGTCTCTACTTTAAAGAGTCCTCTCCTGCTGATGTTCAGGTGTATCATGAATACTGATTCTTAAATCATGAGCTGCAGCCCTGCTCTGATCAGATCTGATTTAGCTCTGTTTGATAGGAAACAGTTGCACAAATGCAAACACACACACACACACACACACACACACACACACACACACACACACACACACACACACACACACACACACACACACACAGACAAGTTTATCTCAGCGGTTCGGTGTAGGTTTGGCGTGACGTCGGGCCGAGGTAAAACTTTTTTTTGTATACAAAGTCATTCAAACTAGCTGCACCTTTACCAGCTTTGATAACACTTTCATGATCAATCATTATAAAACATATATATTATTCTGAAATGGACCAATCTGCACAATGACTACTTTTACTGTCGCTACTTTCACTATATTTTGATGAGAATACTTTTCTACTTTTACTTGAGTAACATTTTGAATGCAGGACTTTTACTGTAACAGAGTATTCCTACACTCTGGTACTTCTACTTTTACTCAAGTACAAGACCTGAGTACTTCTAGTTTTACTCAAGTACAAGATCTGAGTACTTCTACTTTTACTGAAGTACAGATCTGAGTACTTCTACTTTCATAAATATAATCAATCAGACTTCAGTTCCACCTGGAGTAAATTCAAAAGCTACCCTGCAGTAGACAAAGTCATTCAAACTAGCTGCACCTTTACCAGCTTTGATAACACTTTATGGATCAATAATTATATCAAAACCTATATAATGGAAAACAAATGTATGATCACAAACAAAAACATTTTCCCCAACGTTTAAAATACGCCATACCAGTCCCATATTTATATATTATTATTATTATTATGATTATTATTATTATTGTTGTAATTCATATTTTTTTAATACCGTTTTTCACCACAGGGAGGCAGTGAATTTATTTTTTAAAGAAAAACTAAACTCCCATGATGCATTGCGGCGGTCCGTTTCTAGCTTCCGGTCCTCAGAAGCTAGACGTTGCTAACAGACGTTGATGCAGATTGTATACCGAATGTAATGTGTTTAAGAGACTTTTAAAACACATACAAAGTAAAGGCATTAAAGGGAGATTAGTGTGTTTAACGGCAGTGTTTTATCAAGGAGAGGAGAGACTGAAGAGCCAGGACGAAGACGAGAGAGAGAGGTAACGTGTGTGTGTGTGTGGTTTTTAATGACTTTCTATACCGCAGGGTAGCTTGTGAATTTACTCCAGGTGGAACAAAAGTCTGATTTTAGAGTTGATTATATTTCACATAATTGATCCAAATCTCTAAAGTAACTAAAGGTATTCAATACATAGTGGAGTAAAAGTACAAAGTAGCATTACATGGAAATAGTGTTGACAGACCTGCTGTTCAAGTGGCCGTGACAGACCTCACTTTTACCTCACCTTCCTCTATTAAGCTTACCATTGATAACAAATGCTAAATTGGCTATAATTTGGTTTGATGGAAACGATGTATGTCTCAATAATGTCTTACCAGACATGTGAAACTAGACAGAACATCCTGAACTCTTGACCTATGCACATTATGCATTTTAGAAGGGGCAAGCAAAGCATAAAAGTTCCAACCACAATTCTAGGAAGGCGTTGTGGTTTTTGACACCTTGACAACGGTTACAACGATTGAGGAGAACAATGCACACAGGATGAGAGCGAACTGTGTACAGACTTGATGATTTTAGGTCCAACATCCAGGAGCAACACATCTTAGAGACAATAGAGACAGTTTTGTTAAGTTTGTTTCAGTTAATAAATTAAATGTGCAAACGGGCCGGCTAAAATGATTGGTCGTGTTTTTTACAGTACTACGGCTTCCACAGATGACATTTTTTTATGGATTTTTTGTCAAAGCACTTAAGATATTCATTGCTATCGGGAGCATTCCATGGAATATAACAAAAAGTGTATCTCGAGCCGGTTTCTCAAACTTACCTACCCTACCTTTAAGTAAGAATTGAACCTGTGTGACCTCCTTCTCACTCAAAGATAGAAAAGGGGAAACCACCTGATGCAGAGAGGGAGGAGGGAAGAGACTATAAAATATGATGAGTGAAGAGAAACGGGGGAGCTTGGGGGGACTTTTTTGAGGCTTGATTTTGGGTCTTGGGCTCTAGGGGGTTCACTTGGGAACCTGTTGCTTTTGTACTTTGACCTTGTAAAACCTTTGTATCTTTCTTTTGTTATTTGTTGGATCTTGTAAATCCTCTATTTTTGTTAAAAACCTAATAAAACCGGTTTGTACATTTCGACCCAATTCCTGGTCTCTCTGGTGGTCTCTGAAGGTATCTGCTTGGTCTTAGAGTAAGGTAAGAGCACCCTTCCTTGGAAAAGGCTGACAGTAGTTGTTAATTTGGACTTGAAATAGAAACCCTGCTAAGGTTAAGCTGTAGTTTCATATTGGTTACTGTGGTTGATGTGGTTTTGATTGATGCTGAAATATGACATGTGCTCTGCTGATGTGGTAATATCACTGCTGTGATATCAGTGTTTGATATTACATTTGCATTGTTTTAATTTGCATAACTGGTTAAAAGAAGGGGTTAGGGAGTGTGGGTCCTGAAGCTGCCCTAATTACCAGGGAGTCTCCCAACGACACAGGGTTTCTCCTCCAGGGTCAGTTTAGATACTGCTCTGGATTCTACCAGCCCACCAACACCTACTGCACTACACACTCTGTTTTGCTATCCTGGCGGTCAGACATCCAACACTTTAGTGCCTGAAATAAGTGATACGACGAGCAGCTGGTGTTAGAGGCCACGCTGTTAGCTGCCCCCCTAAGAAGATTACGGTGAACTTGCATTTAGATTCTGGCGGTTTAGTCCTAAAGGTAGGACGGCCGTTCTCCCGAGCCTCATCAGCATCGGAGCTCGGTATCGGAGACGACCTAGATATCAACGTTGGTTGTATCGAAGTTATCGCCTGTCAGCGCAACTTACATAATGCCGTTTAAAAAAGTTAAGGGTGGTGCCGGCCGTCAGCAAACCGAGCCGGCCATCAACGGCCCGCTGACGACCGGTCGTTCTGTGATTCTCCAGAACACACAGATGGCCAGTCCGCCCCTGTATTCCACCGGGTCGCCACGGTGCAGACGGACCCGGTGGAATACAGGGTCTACCGTGTTTAGGAACCGTTAAGCAGAACCAAAATTGTGTATTTTTCATGGGTACCCGGTACCCAATTTTCTTATCGGTTCTCATCTGGAACCGAGTTTCGGTTCCCAACCCTAGTAAATGTACTTAGTTACTTCTCACCTCTGCTATTAACCTAAGACGTAGCTGTAGATTTGTTTTGTTGTGTCTGTCGGTTGTATTGAGTTGTCTTGTTTTGTGTCAGCTGTAGTTGTGTTTATTATTTCAGACACACAGCCGGAGAAGGAGCACTGAGAGCAGCATGGAGGAGAACAAAAAGACCCCTGGAGCTCAGGTCAGTGTGCACTTCATCACAATATATTCCTAACACTGTTATCTCCAACCCTAACCCTAACTTTCCGCCGGTCTCGACCGAAATTTGCTTGTGTCACTCGGTTATTTTCGGAAACCACGGAATGGCCTGCTGATGACGACATTTCCACATTTCAAGGTTTCAAAGTAAGAGCATGATGGTTTTCCTCTGGAGACTACACTCGCAGCGCTGTGTCGAAGTCGCATATTCTACATATTTAATCAGATATCTTTGATTATAAAACGGACAAGCCAAATCAAGCAATCTGATTGGTTCTTAGCCGTGGTATACTGAGCGTATACCACGGGTAGAATTGTAAGTTACTTTTCACAACAACTCAGTATCCCTCCGCGTCTGAGATAAACAGTATACAGTTGGCCCGAAAAGCAAACTGCCTGCAGCTTTTCAAACTGGGACAAGAAAGCAGCGGAGAAGTAACGGGGCAGAAACCCTCCTTTTTACGCAGCGGTCCAGACATAGACATCAAACGGCAAAAACATATTCAGTGTGCAGTTCCTTTGGCATTAGGGCAGGGATATTTAGATACTTTCCAAGGTTTGACATAATGAATTGTGCTACTTTTAAAGCAAGCAACCATGTTTTCAAATCTGTAATCAAAAAGGTCCGCAAAAACATTTAAGATTAACTTCGACCTCCGGGGGGGGGGGGTCTTACTATGGAGGAGTGGATTGAGGAGTGCCTATCTCCAGAACAAAAAGCACCTAAACGACGACATGTAGAGCTACGTGAAGAGCAGGTAGACCAACTGGAACAGGATCACCATTCAAAAGCTTTCTGATGCGGGTCTTGAAACAAAGCAGAGAAATGATGACCGTTAGTGGCCACAGGTGCGAAAGCTCTCTCCAGAGCTACTGGAAGCCCAATCTCGGGGACCGGAGAAAGTGGAGCGATATTCTCGCCACGCCAAGCAACAGCCTAGAACAACCTCAGCCTATACAAGTAACCACGTAAGCCATGCTACTGATGCTGGACAGTTTTTCAGTGGGTGCACAATAAACGGCAACATACACATTAATGTAAATAAATAGCCAAATAATGGATCAACGCTCTCTGTCTAATATGTTCGCTAGCTGTTGTTAGTGTTGTTGCATAGCAACCACCTCGCACTATGTTTCGTGCAGAAGGCAACAGAGGGACTATTTTATTTTGAACATCATTATTTACTAATAAAAACTATTTAAATTAGAGTGTGTATTTGTCTTTCATATTGCCACACTTGGTAACCGTTTTATAAAAGCAATAGCTCACTTCAGGCCGTGATATATGACCATTATATCACAGCTAAGGGTGATATAATGAGCATATACCACGGCCTGTCGTGAGCTATTGCTTAATTATATCGCTGGGCGTTGCTGTTATCACTTGCTCATTGTCATTTCATTTGACCAAATGTCTTTACATTTAATAGATTTGATTATTATCCACCTTTTTGTTTTATGTCATTTTATTTAAAACATTCTTTGAGACTTCATCTTCTGGTTCAAATTTCAATAAATGTAATGTGTATAATCACTCTTTTGTCTTCATTCTACATGAAAATGTTAGAGATTCCATTCAAATCTGTTTTTCTTTTTACATTTATATTTTATTAAACATTTTCAAAAGACAAAAACACAAGGACATGGCTCACACAAATCACAAATAGGACAGGACATAACATGAAGGGTGGGGGGTAGGGGGATTACAGTGTCAGTTACATTTTATGTATGCATATGGTGTTGTATGTATACATGATTTGCTTCATAATATAGGCATACTTTAATAGGTAAATAAATAGATAAATAGTCAAATAAATACATATATGTACATATATACACACAATCATCTCTTCCTTTTATGATTAATTCACCTATTCATACATTTCCCATTTAATTTAACTTCTTTCATTATTATTACCGTTATTTTTCTGTTTCTTCATAGCTTATTTCTCTTTATTTATATTTATTTATTAATATTATTAATATTATTATATTTATTATTGGCAGCCGAGATAGTTTGAGTCCAGGGGGGTATACTACGAATCAAGATTTTCGTTTAGCAAGCTAACTTCAGGGGTTTCCTGTCCTACGAGGCTGGTTCACTTTTTAGCGGGCTAGATAACTTATTCTGAACGGCTAGCCTCCGGAGCAGGATAGGTTCCAGGATAAAAGCACTGCCTGCTGACCAATCAGAGCTCAGTGTGCGGAGTTTAAAGCGATCAATTCATATGACAGGAGGAGAAAGGAAATACAGTTTAAACTGCCGTTGCAGGAAAGACGACCGGCCAAAATCACCGACTGTGTGAACGTGAAAATGAATAGAATATCACCTCCCATCTTCAGAGCAATCTGACTATTATAACATTAGCGTTAAGAAAGCTTACTTAAATATCTGCCACAACACAAGTAACCGGATCAAAGTAACATTACGTACAGTCCGCGGCACTGTGAGTGCAGACGTCGATGTGTCCCATTATCATTCATATCATATCACATCATAATGTATCATATATTTCCTTATCTGAGTCAGCTTCTTGAGCCGTATCTGGCCGTGCAACACTCACAGTGTCACATACTGTATGCAGAAGTATTATTTTAAACAACACATTAAGTTGACGAAACACTAGGGTCAAATGTAATTAAAGTCAGATCCACTCGTGTCTTGGACGGGGCAGTGATATCATAAACCTGTTGATGTACGCATTCAAACACTTTTTCTTTTACCAGCAGTATTCACCTTGCAGGTGCAGCTATGTGGCTTTTATCCTGGATAAAGTGTTTAAGTCATGGATGTTTAAAGTTTAACGTCTTCATATTTGTCTAATATTAGTTGACTTTTCATTCAGGAAATATATGACGCGCTGCGCTGTCAGCACGCTTGTCCATGTTTGTGATTGGTCGAATGCTCCAAATACCACCCCTTTTATGTGAACGCGCACCTAACTAGATAGGACACGGCTGGCTTGAGCGATCAAGTTGATAGCCAGCGTCATAGTACAGTTTAGCGAGAGCGGGTTTTTTTTGGATTTAGTCAACCGGATAACTCAAAACATATCCAGGATATGTTGAACTAGATTCGTAGTATACCCCCCTGGAAAGCCCTTATCTTATCCCAAAGCCTGTTGTCTGGCTTAACCAAATATAACCGGGAGAAAGCAGCTTCTTCCATACTTCAGATGTTTAGGAAGTCCTCCAGCCATCTATTGAAATTGAAGCAGTTGGGCTTTCTGACTTTCCAGTTCATAAGAACGAGGCGTTGAGTTGAAAGGCATGCTAGGGCTATAAGTTTACTTGCAAATTTTGATGTTATGCCATTGAGCGGGGATCCCAGCAAGCATGTAACTGGAGTTAAGAGTATCTCTATGTTCAGGATCTCAGCGAGAGTATCTCCAACTACGTTCCATAGAGATTTTACAGCCGGACAGGACCAAAGACAATGTAAAAGGGTACCCACTTCCGCACAACCATGCCAGCATAGGCCCGAGAGTGTTTGATCCATCTTTTTGAGTCTACAGGGTGTGATGTATGCTCTGTGAAGGATTTTTATCTGTATTAAGGTTCAAGGTTCTTTATTGTCAATCTGACATAGTTACAGAGTAATTATGTAGTTGAAAATCTTATGTCACAGGCTTCTCCAACAATGCAACATAATAACATAATAACAATAAGAGCATGAGCAATACAAAAAGAAAAATAGTTATAAAATAAAATAAAGTGATGATGTGGAATAGTGCAGTACGAGTCTATATACAAGTTATTGGAATGATATATATATATTAGATATTAGATACATATTACTGAGTAGCAGATGAATGTTTGATGTTGTTTCAACAGTTCAATTTTTTAACAGTCTCACTGCCCGCGGGAAGAAACTGTCTCCGAATCTTCTTGTCCTTGCCAGGATGCTGCGGTAACGTCTGCCAGACGGCAACAGAAAGAACAGTTTGTGGCTGGGGTGATGGGGGTCTTTGATAATCCGTAGTGATTTCTTCCTGAGCCGCTGGGAGTAAAGGTCCTCCATGGATGGCAGCTCCGTCCTGGTGATGTGCTGTGCAGTTTTCACCACCCTCTGTAAAGCCTTACGATCGAGGTCGGTGCAGCTGCCGTACCAGGCCGTCATGCTGCCAGTCAGGATACTCTCTATCGTGCACCTGTAGAAGTTGCAGAGTATCCTGGAATCCATTTTGAACCTCCTCAACCTGCGGAGGAAGAAGAGCCGCTGTCGAGCTTTCTTGGTGATGGTGGTGGTGTGAAGAGACCATGTCAGGTCCTCAGTGATGTGGACCCCAAGGAACCTGAAGCTTTTGACTCTCTCCACCGTAGTCCCATTGATGGCGATGGGGGCGTGTCCCTCTCCCTGCTGCTTCCTGTAGTCCACAATCAGCTCCTTTGTTTTGCTGATGTTGAGATGGAGGTTGTTATCCTGGCACCAAGATGTCAGGTTTTCGACCTCCTCTCTGTACGCCGTCTCGTCATCGTCTGTGATCTGGCCGATGACGGTCGTGTCATCAGCAAACTTCACGATGGTGTTGGAGCTGTGTGTGGCCACGCAGTCGTGGGTGAACAGGGAGTAGAGGAGAGGGCTGAGCACGCAGCCTTGAGGGGCACCGGTGTTTAGAATCAGGGTGGAGGATGTGATATTTCCCACCCGCACTGCCTGGGGTCTGCCCGTCAGGAAGTTCAGGATCCAGTCACAGAGGGCGCTGTTGAGCCCGAGGTCTCTGAGCTTGATGGCCAGCTTGGAGGGCACAATGGTATTGAATGCTGAACTGTAGTCAATGAACAGCATTCTCACATATGTGTTCCTGTTCTTCGGGTCCAGGTGTGAGAGGGCAGTGTGGAGGGTGAGGGCTATGGCGTCGTCAGTGGACCTGTTTGCTCTGTAGGCAAACTGCAGGGGGTCCAGAGAGTCAGGGAGGGAGGAGGTGATGAATGATTTGACTAACCGCTCAAAGCACTTCATTATGGTGGAGGTGAGTGCTA